CTTTCGCATGTTGATCGTGCTCGCAACGAACCGGTGAATAAGTCGATGGATTGGAGAACGGATATGACCTTCTTGAGCAGTGGAAGGTATATAGACCCGGTTAGCAATTGTACTCCACCATGTTGACGCCACCACCCCCTCGGGAAGTTCTTTGTGAGTATTTTCCAAGAAGGCTTCAAAGTATTCTGTCATCGCTATGTCTTGATCGTAGATGCCTAACCGCCAAGAGAATTCAACCATGCTGCATTGTCGCAGCTCTCCTCCCAAAGAAAACGAAACCGTGTTTGGGTTGTAATACTCACTACCACCTCGGAATGAAATGGTAGCAAAGAATTCCCAACACAACTCCGCGTAGACGGGCTCTTGGATTTTAAACAATTGCAACCAACCATCACAAGTGATGTTGGCATAACCCAAGTTACAGTCTTTCACCAAATATGGTGTAAGTTCCTCTTCCAAGCCAACATTGCCCATCCATCCCCAATCCACTGCAGTGGGCAAGTGAATTTCCTTTTGTCGCAGAGTTTCCAACCTGTTTAAGGCTCGGGTTTTGGAGGATTTGGAGGTGATGTGTTGAAAGGATAACCATGGCATATCACCATGGCCTCCTCCACGTGATGACTGTCCTCTCCTTGCCATGCTATCTGCATAAACATTCCAAAAACACAGCAACAAACAACACCCCATAATTAAAACAGAAAAAATTTTCATCTTTGTGGGACCTACTCGCCGAGTACACGACCATACTCGCCGAGTAGTATGAACACTCGGACAGATCGAAACCGGATCTGTATAATCTGTGTAATAGTCCAATTTGTTCATAGGGGTTTGTTGTAATTGTGTATCTAACCATAGATCTTGAAGAAATTACTCCAAATAACCTCTAATTCATGAGTAAATCAAAGCCCTAAAAATTGGGGAAAACTCCCCAAATCCGAAAATATACCAAATATGGGGAGATATGTGATAAAGATTGGACCTTTCATAAAATTAAAGAGTAAAGATGTTACCTTGTTGCTTGAATTAAGAGAAAGAGGAAGAAAATTGACTACGGCGGCTGAAAGAAGATGCTCGGCGAGTGTGGGGATGAAATGTTGAATAAAAGTAATTTTTACAGATTTTGATTTACTGGGTTTGAACCGTCTACTCGCCGAGTATAATGGATCTACTCGCCGAGTAGACACGCGTGTCATGCATTTTTGGCTGTATACGAACATTTACTCGCCGAGTATAGCCGATATACTCGCCGAGTAGATGTCTCAGGTTGAAAAAATTTTAAATTTTGCCAATTTTTACTATATTAATTCCTTTGTTTAGCCTTTCCACCCCACACTTTCAGTAGAGCTTGTCCTCAAGCACTTAGAGAAGTAGAATGAATGAAGAAAAATAAAAAAAAACAATACGAAAAATAAAGAAAGGGAAAGAAAATGCAAACGTGAAACTCGGGTTGCCTCCCGAGAAGCGCTTCTTTTGATGGAGTCATTAGCTGGACTCCGCCCCTTCTACGTGTTTGCGATTCCGCACAGCAGGAGCTCCTCCATTCCTTCATTACGGGGGACTCCTTCTTCATATTTCTTCACTCGATGTCCATTGACTTTAAATGGCGTGCCATCTCTTCAGATCAATTCTATAGCCCCGTGAGGAAACACCGTCTTGACCACAAATGGACCGTCCCACCTTGATTTTTTTGTTTGCCCGAGAAAAGTTTTAATCGGGAATTGAAGAGTAGTACTTTTTGGCCTTCATGGATGTCTTTGCTTTTGATTCTTTGGTCATGCCATCTCTTGGTCTTTTCTTTATAGAGCCACGAACTAGAATAAGCCTCATGTCGGAGTTCTTCAAGGGCATTCATTTGCATTAGACGGTTGGTCTTCAATTCTTCTATGTCAAAGTTGCACCTCTTTAGCGCCCAATATGCCTTGTGCTCGATTTCAACCGGTAAATGACATTGCTTTCCATAAACTAACCTATATGGTGTAGTACCAATAGGTGCTTTGAAAGCGGTACGAAATGCCCATAGCGCGTCATCCAATTTGTCCGACCATTCCTTGCGGTTGCTTCCCACCGACTTCTCTAAGATACGCTTCAAAGCTCGATTGGTCACTTCCGTTTGCCCACTCGTTTGCGGGTGGTATGATGTGGAGAACTTATGGGTCACCCCATATTTCTTGAGCACCTTGTCCAATTGATCATTGGCAAAGTGTGTGCCACGGTCACTAATTAAGGCCTTCGGAACACCAAACCGGGAGAATAATTTTTTCAAGAACCGTACCACTACCCGTCCATCATTTGTAGGTAAAGCCTGCGCCTCCGCCCATTTTGAAACATAATCTACCGCCACTAGGATGTACTTGTTTCCTTTGGATGTGGGAAATGGCCCCATGAAGTCTATGCCCCACACGTCGAACACTTCACACACTTGAATGCTATGTTGTGGCATTTCATTACGGGATGAAATGTTTCCCACCCTTTGGCAAGCATCGCATTCTTTGACATATTGGGCTGCATCTTTGAAGATTGTAGGCCAATAGAACCCAATGTCAAAGATCTTCTTTGCGGTATAGTGTGCTCCATGATGTCCTCCCGTGGGCCCGCTATGGCAGTGCTCTAGTATTTTTCGACTCTCCTTTCCGAACACACATCTTCTTATAATTCCATCCGCGCAGCTTCGGAAGAGGTATGGATCGTCCCAAAAGTAATATTTGATCTCCGCAAAGAATTTCTTCTTTTGCTGACTACTATAATCCTTCGGGACGTAGTTGGTAGCTAAATAGTTAGCTATGTCTGCGAACCATGGCTCCTCTCCCACGGACACCATAATGTATTCATCCGGAAAGTCGTCTCCATCCTTATCTTCTTGCAATGCCGGGTTCTAGAGCCTAGATAAATGATCAGCCGCTACGTTCTCCATTCCTTTCTTATCTCGTATCTCTATATCGAATTCTTGAAGAAGCAGCACCCATCGTATTAGTCTTGGCTTGGCATCCTGTTTGGAAAAAAAATACTTGATAGCCGAGTGGTCAGTAAAAACAGTGGTTTTAGATAAAACCAAATAAGGGCGAAACTTATCAAAAGCGTAAACTACGGCTAACAGTTCTTTTTCAGTAGTAGTATAATTCTCTTGGGCAGGATTTAAGGTCTTGCTTGCATAATAAATGGGTTGAAAGTGATTATCAACCCTTTGTCCAAGGACCGCTCCTAGTGCATAGTCACTAGCATCACAAAGGTTCGAAATGAGCATAGTCACATCATCTTTGGATCTCCAAATGAGAAGTTGAGCAAAGAATTTGCTGAGATCATGTCTCAAAGGTTCGAAATGAACATGATGGGGAAGATGACTTTCTTCTTAGGTCTTGAGGTTCAGCAACAAAAATCAGGTACTTCAATTTGTCAAAGTAAATACATTGCCGATATGCTAGTTAAGTATTCTCTCAGCGACTGCAAACCAGCTTCTACTCCGGTGTCCAAGACTGATAAGCTACACGCTGATCCCACTGGCGTTGATGTTAATCACTCTCTTTATGGAGGAATGATTGGATCTCTTCTCTACCTCACTGCAAGTCGCCCTGATATCATGTTTGGAACCATTCTCTGTGCTAGATTCCAAGCTAATCCCAAGGAGTCTCATCTCATTGCAGTCAAACGCATCTTTCGATACTTAAAGGCTACTCAGAACCTGGCACTGTGGTACCCTCGTGATTCAGCGCTTGAACTCTTTGGATACATTGATTCCGACTATGCAAGTTGCAACTTAGATAAGAAGAGCACGTCAGGTGGATGTCATTTCCTTGGAAATCTACTAATCAGCTGGTCCGGCAAGAAACAAACCGCAGTAGCTATCTCCACTGCAGAAGCTGAATATGTTGCCGCTGGAAGATGTTGTGCTCAAATTCTATGGATTCAAAATCAACTTTTAGACTATAGGCTTAAATTCACAAAGACTCCTATATTCTGTGACAACACCAGTGCCATTCAGATCACACAGAATCTGGTTCAGCACTCAAAGACAAAGCATATAGAGATCAGACATCACTTCATCAGAGACAATGTTGAGAAAGGCAAGGTTCTTTTACATCATGTCAAGACTTCCGATCAACTAGCTGACATTTTCACTAAGGCCTTGGATACTCAAACTAATGCTCACATCATTGGCGAACTTGGAATGATCACTCTCGATTGAAAAATTGTTTTACTAATGTTTGTTATTGTCTTGTACACTAATGTTTTTTTGTACTGATGATGATGCGCTGATGATGTTTAGCATGCTGAGTACACTGTATGATCTCTTATCTATTTCTCTTCTACAAATCTTCTAAACTAAAGTTGAATGATTCACTGTATTAAACCATACACCGATAACAACTTGAAACTCTTTGCCGATGGTTAGACAAAATACCAAGTTCTATCACACGCAACTATCCCTTCTTACCAATCTTACACTGATTCTGTGATTCGGTGTGACAAAACACACGCTGATGAGAATCTAACAGTATTTTCCGATGGTTAGACCAAAAACACCAAGGTCTATCACACGCAACAATCCTCTCTTTACCTTCTTCTCACTCAGTGTCTAATGATTCAGTAAGAAATACCACTCACTGATAAAGACTCGACAGTCTGTGCCAATGGTTAGATAATTAAACTAGTATCTATCACACGCACCAATCACCTTGCTAACCCAACACAAGCAAGTTGTACCTTGAATTGACGACAAACTATCTTTCAGCATGTACCTCTCAGTGATAACAATCTCAGCGCTTCCGCAGTCACTGATTGTAGTTTCCTCTTCGGTACAATGGCTATATTTACCCAACAACTATTTTTTGATTTGACAGTCTGTCAAGATACGCAGTTATTTTCGATGAAGATAATCATTACATTTTTTTTACCGTTGCATTCCTTATTTAAACCTTTTCACCTCTTCTCCAAACCTTTTTACCTTCCTCCAATCTTCTCTCACTCTTAAAACAAAAAAAACCCTAGAATCCTAAACCTCTTCAATGGCGGCATCACTGTTCACCTTCTCCTCCACCTCAAGAAGAGTTGTCCCAGCTCCAAACTCGCCTCCTCTTCCCATATACATCAAAGCCACCAACGTTGTTTTCAACCCTGATATTCCAGAAGTTCATCAAGGTCTTGGACTTGATGATTTTGTTAATTTCTTAGCTTCCTGCCGACTCCGATACGCAATCAGTGACGTTCCATTAGAGTTCTTTCCCGAACAAGTCTGTGAATTCTACTACACTGCAACAATTAATGATGAAAACAACGCCATCTCCGGGACTATTGGCTGTGGAAGACACTCAGTCTTCATTACCGCTGACCTCCTCAGTGCTGCGCTCAGGTTACCAATCTTTGAACCATTCTCAGAGCTTCCATCTATTGAACGTTGTAGACGTCTCTTTGATCAACTGGGATACGATCACTCTAAGGCTGGTACTCGATCAGATCTCATTCTGCGTCAGTGCATGACTCCAGGATGGAAGTTCTTCACCGGTGCTCTGTGTAAGTGTGTGGGTCACAAATCTCGCAGTGGTGATCAACTGAGCACGTATGAACAACAAGTCGTCTATTATTAGTTTAAGAATCGTTTTTGTATATTTTTTCATAAAATACTTATTCATGTTTTCTTTTTATTAATGTATTCTTAAATAATGTCATAAACTATTATTCTAACAGAATGTCATTCTAACAGAATTGCATTCTGACAAAATAATAATATTCTGATAGAATAAAATCGGTTTTGTTAACAAATTAAGTTTGAATTTAAATTGAATTAATTAAAAAAAGAGTAAATTACTGAAATCGTCCCTGTGGTTTGGTTAAAATTGCATATTTGGTCCCTAACTTTTATTTTGCACTCGGATCATCCCTGTGATTTGATTTTGTTGCATTTTTCGTCCCTATGGTTTGGTCAAAAGTGCATGTTTGGTCCCTAACTTTATGTATGTAAGGGACAAAAAACACAACAAAATCAAACCATAGGGACGAAAAATGCAACAAAATCAAACCACATGGACGATTCGAGTGCAAAAGAAAAGTTAGGGACCAAACGTGCAATTTTAACCAAACCATAAGGATGATTTCAGTAATTTACTCTAAAAAAATTCAGATTTTTAAAATAAGTAGAATTAATAGTCCCTATAAAATAGATAATTTCCTTTTATAAATGTAATTAATTGTCCAAAATACTCATTAGCTAAAATTTGTGTGATTACATGGTACATGTTATCCCATTGTAATATCATACACCCTCAAATCATATCCATTGATTAATTCCATCTGTTGGTCCAGATTTGTGCATTCTAGCACACAAAAGTTACTAAAAACAAAATAACCTATGCATATATATATATATATATATATATATATATATATATATATATATATATATATATATATATATATATAATTTAAGTGTTTCGCTTGTTATTGATTAAATTTTAAACATTTAAATTGTTTGCCCTAGTTTATTTTTTCCTTCCATCCCCCAAATGTGTCATCATTTTCAGAAATATTTTTTTTATCCATTCGCCACTTGAGGCATGTTTCTTTTAGTTTTAGGAGTTAATGCAACAACTAAATGACCATTTTACCCTTTTGTTTAAAAGTGATTGCTGAATAACAAATGACTATTCAATTTAGAAATTGTTAGAAATTAAAATTAAAAACCTAAGCCGTTAAGATGGGCGATATGTATTTTAAGTTAAAATTAAAAAATAAAAAGAACAAAAACAATTGTAACAATGTTGTTTCATTTTAAGACTATCAGGAAAATGGAGAGTATGGATTTGTTCAAGGGTGTCTTGGGTAAATTTAATCATTTTAATCAGAATATTTTATAATCAATGCGTTTAACTTCTTGAATTTTTATTTTTTTTCAGTAGTTTCTAACTTGAGCATGTGATGTGTTTTATGTGTTTTACAACCACATAATAGAGGTAAATCCATACACCTTTATTAATTATAATGTAAAGTTGTATCTTAGATACTAATTATTAATTTGTTGCAGAATTTGGAGTAAGAAATCATGGAGCTCGAGTAGTAACATTTACCGATCAAAGTTAACTTTTTAGAAAATTCAAGCTTAAAGAGGTAAGAGTTCTTTATTTCAATCATGTATAGTAATTTCCTTTTGGAGGTAAATCCATTTCTGCAATCTACATAATCACAAGGTGTAATTTCATCATGTTAATAATTTTCATGCAATAACCTTAACATGTGATGATTCAATAGGGAACAATAATTAAAATATGATGATATAGTAATCAAATCAATAAAAGTACAATGCTATTTCTTGCTATAATTGGTAGTTTGATCAAAGTATGATATGCAACTTAACATGAATTAATCACACAAAGTATGTGTATACCTTTCTCGGCCTTTTGGCTAAGATCAAGTGAAGCACACAAAGTATGTTGATCAGATCAGATTTAAACAACTAAAGATGAACCATTTCAACATTTATAAATGATCTTTTGAATTACTAAAAGTAATTTGTTTAAACTTTCAATTATGGTTTTTAGAATTGAGTTTCTAGTTTCTAGGATTAATCTATAATATATATTCCCTCATTTTGTTGTACTAGGCTTCAAGTTGTTTAGCTATAATAGAAGTATAATGCTATAAAAAAATAAAGCAATACAAGTAGAAGTAGAATGCTATAAAAATATAAAGCATTATAAGTAGGGTGATATAATATGAAGAACATGAAAAAAAAAATCCGAAATAAAAACAAATTAGTCATATATTTACTATACATACAATCTAATTCTTGATAATCAAATAGATATGACAATTGATAAGAGTTGGATTACACTGCCAAATCGGAGCTCTCCAGAATTCCCAATATGTCTTAGAAACTTTATAGAGATTGCCAAGAACCATGTCGATGGTAAATGAAAAACATGTTGCTCGTGTAGAGATTGTGTGAATATGTATCGACAAATTGTGACTACGGTTTATGCCCACATACATGATCGTGGATTTCTTCAATCATATCGTATATGGATTCATCACGGGGAGGAATATCCTTCTTCAGATTTAGACAACATTTGGTTTCCTAGAAACCATACTACAACAATAGTTTATAATCATTTTGACATGTATTCTCCCCTGAAATTCGAAAATGTAATAAAAGGGGTCGTGAAAGTAATAATTATGTTTACATAGCCTAAATAAAGACTAAGGAGAGAAGCCCGGAAAAGTTGTCGGAAAAATATTGTTGAACGAGCGCTTCGCCAGAAAGTGAAAAGTAACTCGCTGAAAATTTGGCCCGATCTTCGCCGGAAAAATCGTCGGTGCCGGAAAAAGTGGGGACGATGCTGAAGGAACTGCTGTTAAAGGTTGATGTCAGCGTCGGAGGGTGGCAGGTCCGAGTGTCAGCAAGCAGTGGCAGACGACAACGAATAGTGGAAGACAGCGGCCAGAGTAGCTGTCGGTCATGGTTTTGCATCTGAAACTGGGAGCGAGAGAGATTTAGGAGATATTTGAGTGTGTTTAGAGAGAGACTGACTACAGTATGTCACGTTTGTGGCCAGGCAATGTAGTGTCGGGTCTCGATTTTTGTGTAAAAAAGATGGAGTTCTTTTAAAATACTAGCTCATATTAAATTTTATAAAATATCAAAATGTTGTTGCGAAACGCAGGGTAGCTAGTTAAACAAACTATTTGAAATTCCATTCTAACGATTACGGTTCATGTGTTGTCTGTTCAGTGCCTCGTTTTCTTCGGATAATTGTATCTTTCTCGTACAAGCTCTTTTTTCAATGTTCTTTATATCCTTGGTTTGTAATTACGTGTACTCTTTTTTTAGTGTATCATCTATACATAATAATACTTAATACGTATATCTAATAAAAGCATATTTAACCAATCATTACTTATGTATAATGAAAAATGTTCGTTTATCGACGATCTAAACATATCGAAGATTTTTATGATATCCAATATACATTTCAAAGTGTATTTAGAAGTAATCATGCTTAATCGTAAAGCGATAATAGAACTAAATTTGGCAAATATCTCACCGCATCATTAAGACTCTAAGATATGTGTGTCTGATACTTTGATTTGAATGTTGTTTAAAAGATTAAATATTTTCACTTATTTTGTGTTGGTTTTAGCCATACTCAAAATAGGTGAACTAAGTAGAGTTTGTACGTGTCTTTGATGTTATCAAATTTTGTTTTGACTATGATCAATGTTATAGGGATCAAATTAAAGGTGTGTTGGTTGGAGTCTATAACCAGTGATGGAGATAAAAGGTGAGGGGAAAGGGGAAAAGTGTACAAATCTTATGAACAAGACAAGTGTACTACCATATGCATAATGTTAAGCCTCCTTCTTCATTCTAGGTCATCCCCCACCCTCTAAAACCCTAGAAATCATCCTTAATCATTCATGGTGGCATTTTGAGCTTATGGAGTCCATTTTTGGAGTGTTTGGTCCATTTCCAAGAAGGTGGAGTTTGATGCAAAGATGAGGATCAAGGAGAAGCTTATGGATTTGGGTTTTGTGACTCATTTTCAGCTTGATGAAGGTATAAAGCTTTGAACTTGATCATTGGTGTCTTAGATCTACCATTTATGGGTTTTTGTTCATTTTGGTCCCAAGTATGAGATCTAGTGGCATTGATTTCATTCTAGGAGCTTTGAGTTGCCCCTCTTAGTGTTTATGAGGTTCAAGGTCTATAAATTTGGCACCTTTAGAGTTTAAGACCATCTATGTTGGAGTTTGAGCCATTTCCATGAAAGTAGAATGTTATTTGGTCCTTTTAGGGCATGCAAAGTCACCAAGTTAGCGAGTTTATGGTTTTAGACGTTAGTTGGGACTTAGATCTATGGTTTGGACTTATTGGACCAAGAATTAAGAACTTAATGAGGATCTGGCTTAATGGAGTAGTACGTTGGGCGTACAAGTATGTACGCGTAGCGTACAAGCCAAGCACCCTATACGCTTAGCGTACAACCGAGTACGCCCTACATGCTCAGTCAGATTGTATTTCATGTTTGTGGTCCTCGGGTTGGGCCATTTCTTGGACTAAGTTGATGTGGGACTTTTTGGGCCAATTGGGAACAAGTTTATGAACTAAGGAAATTATTGGGCTTTAGGATGAGGCCCACTAGAAACACTTGGGCCCAATTTGGAAAATTAGGCCATAAGTGGGCCATAATTGGGCCTTGATGATTATGAGATATTAGACTATCGGAATGACAAGTGTTTGGACTAGAATAAATGGTTGGTCCTTAAGGTAAGACCATGTGGACATTTCGGCCCAATTTGGAAAATTGGGCCATATGTTGGGCCATGGTTGATTATTGGGCTTTTGGGCCTTCAGAGTATAAGTTGGGCCTTGGTTTTGAACCAAGCTAGGTTAGGGGTAAAATGGTATATTTACTCCAAGCTAGGTTGGGCCTTGGTTGATTATTAGGCTTTTGGGCATTCATACAAGTGTCTTGATGATTGACAATTCGAGGATCGGTTAGCCAGCAGCCAGAGATTTATTCGTGGGACTTCAGCAGTGAGAGGTGAGTCTCTTCACCATACCAATGGGTCAAAGGCACCAAGTGTAACATCC